GCCACGTCCTGAAAACTTGAACTTAATTCAACAAATATATGAAAAATGCGATGAGATTAGGGAAAAATTATTCTGCCATTGATAAGGAGCTCGCAGCTCAAAATATCTCAAAACTCACAGTACAAAGAAGAAGCTCACAGCTATGTATATCAAAACCAACACACGACTTTATAAGTAGATTACTACTTTAAAGCTAACACACAAAAAACTTCATTTGCATATGTAGTGCACGTCCTGCGCCCAGTTTGCATGAATATCGTAAATGCACCAGAATAATTCCAACACCCCCTCTCTCAAGTGGGAATGTGGAGATGAGAACGCATTCCCAACTTGCACACAAACCGAAAAAAATTCAGTACCACCGAGAGACTTTGTAAAGAGGTCGGCGGATTTTCATAACCCTGTTGCGCAAAAACGGGGTGCACACTTGAAATGGGTGTCCGAGTTATGATATATATCATGAGCCATGCGGAAATAAATCGAGTAATCTGTTCCTTTATCCAAGAAAAAGTTAATAATATTGATTGTTGAGTCAAATTAAATAAATAAATACTCCTGTCACAAGGTGGATAAAACCCTAATAATGTTTGATTGTGATCTTAATTATTTTTTTTTCCAATTAATGTTATAGTTAAGAGATAGGAAAGGGATAAAATAGAGGAACAGTGTGAAAAAATATTGAGTAATTTAACAACAAAAAAAGATTTTTTAACACAGCACAGCCAGATTTTCGACCGCCTCACCGATCAACCTTCCTTACCAGCAGCAGCAGCAACCGCCTTGGCTTATGCTGCCGCCGACCTTCGACGCCGCCAACAAGATGGTTCATAACTTTTACGTCCTCGGAGAGAACCAAGTGATGAGCCTCGGAAAGGGAGAGTGTGAGGAGGACGAGGATGAAGACGAGCTCTTTTTTTGGCCGGACCACAATTCTAAGGCGATCGGGTCCTCCCACGGCTGGCTCGCCTTTCTGGACACCCGAACAAGCCACATCTTCATCTCCAATCCCATCATTGACTTCCACAGGAAGATTCCGACCCCATCTCCATCCCCAGAGGACGAGGACGCCCATTGCCAAGTCATCAGCATCGCTCTCAACTCCTGTCCTGGTCTCTTTAACCAGGGCCGTGCCGTCGCCACTTTTGGTACGACCCTGGCTTGTTCGTGTACATGGACTGCTCACTGGACGGGCTTGCATTTTTCGTCGGGTGCAACAACGGGCTTGCGATCCACACTGGTCAGTACCCTGAGCTGAAGCCCGACTCCGTCTACTACAGAGCGCCACCGGAATGGATCAATTGGAGCTACGGTGGCCATGACGTTGGCATCTTCAATAATCGAGACAAGACTTTATCACCCTGTTTTTATCCTCCTGACGTGCAGAGCAAGAAAATGGTTAGTGGACCCATCTGGTTCACGCCGAGCTTAATTTCGAGGCGTATGTTCCTCGTGCACAACCACGATGGTACTCTCACTATTACTCCCAAACTTCAACAGTAAGCAAGGTT